TCTTGTTTGTCTCTTCTTTGAACCACCACTTGCTGGTTGCTAGTTGCTACACCCACCTACTTCTCCTTTTTTCTATAAGTTACTACTGTTCTTCACTTATAGATTCAGTGAAGATTTCAAAAGGAGAGCTCAGCTAGCTAGGGTTTTTCAGACAGCTAAAAAAACCTGAGATGGTGAAATTTCAAGAGCCATGTAAAAGTTTTCTCTTTTGTCTTATCATCACATCTAGCTTTGGTTGTGACTTGCTTGAGATCTAATCTCTTAATTCTTCTCCTGTCCACATGCAAGATATTATAAGATTTTTCAAATCTCGGGTTTTAGGGTTTTTTTTCCTTATCTTATGATCTTCTGTGACCACTTATATATGGCTTACTTCAGATCTGATCTCTCTTTCTCCTGTCCACCAAAAAATAGGCTTCTCTTTTATCTGGTTTTAGGGTTTCTTCTCTTGTCTAAATCATGATTCAAAAATTATTTGCTTTTTTATTTATGGCATATAATATGCAATTTATGCATGATTTATGAATATTTTTTTTTTCTAAACTTCTCTAGTGCTTATCTTCTTTTCACTTACCTCTAATTGAAAGAAAAATAATAGTATTTCTCTCTTATCATGGACTCCAATCTCTTGCACCAACCCTCCAGAAGCCATGAGAAAATAGAATATCTCTTGGTCCAAAGCTTGTATTATCCAAGTGGTCAAACCAAATTATGATTGTTTAATTAGTCCTTCTATATATTTTCTTAATTATTTTATTTTCTCATGATCTGCAATGACGCTATGATGGAATCTTTTGATGTATAGCGTTTTTACCTCTTTATAGATGGTATTTCTACGGTTTTATAGATGGAATCTTTTCACACATGTTTTGGACCTGACTGCTGATTGTATATAAAATATTTACTTTAGGTATATAATTACTCAAGTAGATAATTTTTTAGGGGACTGTTCATCTGCACAGGGCTTACATCACGCACAAACCATTTTCAATTTTTTTAAGGAAAAAAAAAACAGTATTAATGTTTTATGATTTCAATGTTTGATGAACAGTTCGTCCTTTGTCTCTCTCTCTCTTGGTAGCCTCTTTTTGACAAGACCCATCAGTGGTCTTTACTTGTACAGTAAAAGCTTGGTTCTTCTTGTGAAGTTTCAAAAAGATCACTCACCAGTCACCACCAAATCTTGTAAGTTAATTCATGTAGATATACATATATACAAATATACATATATTAGTTGACATTCTAATTCACTGCTGATGCATATTCATATGTACATGCAATAACATTTCAAAGTAAATGTTCAAATATAAGTACGTTGGAAGTTGTCTTGGTCATATTTGTCTTGTTGTCGATGGCCCCTTATAAGCAACAAGTGCATGTGTTAGAAACTATATATCTCATGCTTATGTATTCTTCTGTGAGTGTGTGGCCCTTGAGTGTTCAAAAATGTATATGAATATAGAGATTAAAATAGATAGATATAGAAGGAGATTCTTTCAGTCCAGTCATGGATAGAAAAAGAAGACGGTAGAAATATCTGCCGACTCATCCATCCAAACACTTGTGGTAGAAACAAGATAAGCTTTAAACCGCAGTGACTGTGTGAATGATGCGGGAGATATTTTTCATCCCTCTTTATCTGTGTTTGGACTGAAGGGAGCTCCTTCCTTATCTACATTTTTCGTTTCCCTCTAGGTTGCATTGATCTCAAGTTTTGAATACGGATTTGCATTATTTACCTCGTTAAACCACACATGTTGAATGAATCTAAAGAGTATAACCATATGGTTTAGGATTTAATCCCGTTCAAGTTCCAGATAATCTAGCCACTACTCACTCATTAAGGTTGCATTTAAAGGTATAGCTATAAGTGAAGCTTTATGTGAAGGATATATACATTCTAAGGTATATCTACGGTTGTGACTATGGATATTACGATGGTCTTACTTAGATACTAAAGGTACTCTTGTTTTGGGAAATGAAATAACGTGTATATTTACCTTTTTTACTCCCTGTATTATTTTATGGGCTAAGAGATATTTATAGAAGTCGTGTTCTTGCCTGATTCGTATCTTGCAAAGTAAGACCGATTTTTTTGTACTTGTAATTTGTATGTTCCCGAGGGTTGGAATTGGAGCCATTAATGGTTCACAATGTGTCAATGTTTTCACATCGTCTTTTGGTTTATGAAAACAATACATTTACATTAAGACAAGAATAGAGTATTAAATTAAAGTACATATTAGTAATATACGTGTAGTATATTTGAAATTGATGGTGTTTTTCTTCTAATCTTTTCCTTTTGTCACAGCTATTTTCATTTTTGTTATAACTTATAAGTGTTAGATTTCAACTTTTAGTATTTCATACACCGTGAAATTCTTGAACTTTTTTCTATTATTCACCCATACGTCTGTTTAATTCACTCTCGAAATTTATAGCATCTCAAAGCTAAATTCAAATTTGGATAATAGTGCTAAAACGATTTATTTTATTTTATTTTATTTTTATCAGTGGTAAACTATATTACAATTTTATTTTTAGATGGAGACATTTGTGTACACAACTTCACAAGACCTAGTCCGATTGAACCTAAACCCTAGTGTCATATTCTTAACTAAATTTATCGAGTCGACAAAAATGGATCAATATTTAGCCGACAAAAATATATAAAACTTGATACCATTTGGATTTATGTAATGATAAACAAG